AATCTAATGAACTGAAAATGAAGTTGTTAGGAGAGGAAAATGGAGGGGGACGTTGCTGTTTTTTTTTAGGAGCATTCATCCTTATCCTGGCCAATATAACAGCCCTGGAACCCGCACCTCCTGAAGCATACAAAGCTTTGCTTTGGGGCCCTGGGATTTCTAGTTACGCCCCTGGGTCTAAGTCAGTGGCGTCACAAGGGGGGTGCGGCCCGCACCCGGGTGACACCATTGGAAAATGAAGTCACTGCGGGGTGTCACCCGGTACCCGTACCCAGGGCCAGTGCTAGACTATTTTGCCCTAGGCAAGACCAGCTACTGCACCCCCCAACTCCCCCGCAGGGTAACCCCCAATACCCCCCGTGGGTGGCCCCATTTTCCTGCCAGGTAACTTCCGCAGGCAACAGTTTGGTGTAATTTAATTTGAAATGGCCAATAGCAGGTTGGCTATTGAAACCCCACCCACTGAGCAGAGGCGCGGATCTGAGAAAGAAAGTTGCATCTCAGTTCCGCGCCTCTGCTCACTGGGTGGGTGCAATAGCCAGCCTGCTATTGGCTTTTGCAATTTGAAATATATGGGGGGTGAGTGATCGAGGCTGCGCCCTAGGCAGCAGTGCACCCTAGGCGACCGCCTAGTTTGCCTAGTGGCAGCACCGGTTCCCAACGCGAATAAATGATCATGTTTTGTGCGCGGGTTTCATAGGTCTACCCATCTGGGCGAGGTGGCCAATCCAGCTTTGGTGTGTTTTACATTGGACACATTTCATGCGCATCTTTCAGGTCGCTGGTCTTAAAGTGCAACAGCTACCGCCAGGCCCGCTGGTGGGAGAATCAGATCATCCAGATTGCTGAAAAACACGGGAAGGACTTCTTGAGCACACATCGGTTTGAGGCCCACGCACCAGTGCGGGAGAGGACGCAAGTGAATTGGTAAGGATGATTCTTTTATAAAATCCTCGTGTTACCTCTTTCCCACTGCTCGCATTCCCACACAGACACCGGACACACGACTCACAGTAGTCTACCACCTGCAGTGTGGCCGCGCACTGGCCTACTAGGAAACCATACACACACACACAGATCCCTGTCTGGCAGATCTGCTAACTTGTACACACTGACACTAACCTGCAGCCAATCTGCAATGACGCAATGCAGTTTCAAAGAGATTAACAGTGAGCTTGTAACTGAGTATACAGACACTAGTAACAATGGCCATTCTCTATAGGAGTATGAATTCATAGTTTAGTACACAGAAGGCCACTTTATTGGTTTCAGAGTTTAAAGGAGAACTATGAGAAGAGTGATTTTCACTCAGCCTCATAGTTCGAGCCGACCTGTGACAATTAAACTGTCACAGGTCAGCTCAGTAGATCGGGAAGTGAGCGAACACATACCGGCGCTCTCTCACTTCTCAATCCTGACACCGCAGAGTGCCGTAACTGTCACTCACGGCTCCCTGCAGGGATTCCTCCTCCCCACTCAGATCCTACAGCGCTGACTGGCGGAACAGACAGGGGAGGGGGAGGGTACAGCTGGCTCTGCCTCTAGATAGGCAGAGCCAGCTGTCAATCACGCAGCTGGGTGGATCCAGACAGTATTATCGGGATCAGTCCCGGATGCAGCGTCTTACTATATAATGAGCTGTAGTTTGGGGTATATTGAGCTTTGGGTGTGGGGAGGACGCTAGTTTGTGTCCTCCCGTTACCCTTAGGAGAACTATGGGGAAAAGCACTGACCCCATAGTTCTCCTTTTAATATCTATAGGTGGACAATGCCTAAGAAATGGCATAGCTGCTGCAAGTAGGCCTCATATAACCGGTCTCTAGATGACTGGATAGAACCAGACCCTACCATTTTATATGGGCATGTAGCTCGTAATATATACTATCCAAGGGGATCGGTTTCATCTCCCTATGACTGATATGTTGGATAGTTATTATAGATGAAGCCTAAATCCTCTGATCCATGAGAAGGACAATCGTTTCCCATTAAGGAGCCCAATATATAGATATCTCCAGTGGCGTCACAAGGGGGGTGCGGCCCGCACCCAGGTGACACCATTGGAGGGGTGACACCAAAATGACTGACAGTCATTTTGGTGTCACCTCCCCCTGAAAAGTCGGGCACTCGGTCATGGACCAAGAGGAGGGGCCCGGCGGCATACTTCATCCCACTGGGTGAACGTCCCCTCCTCTCTCTGCCGGCGTCCACCAAGATGGCCGCCGGCAGGCATCAATACGATGGCTGCGCATGTGCGATGATGTCACAGCGGGGTGTCGCCCGTTCTCCGCTCCAGGTGACACCCGGTCTCGGGACGCCTCATGAGATCTCATGTCCCCTGCACTGGTTTGCAGCCAAAAAGTCTGCAGTGGTCCACCCTTATCTGACCACGAGCCAGAGGGACCTGTCAGGAGGCCATTTAGTGGTTGTGTGTGAATTAGGCCCAAGGTGTCTCTTCAAGTTCTAATGGTGGACATGTGTCTCCTCTGTTGTACTGATCAGTGAAGTTATACGATACATGTTGATTTCGGTTGCCCTCTATACTTTGATATCACATAATGATTATTTACCCCGTATCTGCCTTTTCAGGTTCGTCAATGGTGCCAGTTATTTTGCCGCGGTGGCTGACGCTCTGATGCAGGCGCGAGAGGAGATTTTCATCACCGATTGGTGGTAAGTTGGGGCTTCGATATGAAAGATGTCTCTGGCATTTCTGCAACATGTTCTGCAATCACTGGGGAAAATGCCGCTGTCCATTACAGCTAATCACACTCCAAGGGTAACTTCTAGGCCGGGAGAGAGTGAATCTCAAAGATAGCTTTAAAATGATGTTTCAACTCTTTTCTATTCTATCCAAAACTTCAAAAAATGACCGAGCACAAAGTGCAGAGCTGCAACCAAATTCGAATGTGATTGCCATGACTCTTCTCCCTCTACAGTCACGCTGTCTTCTCTTCTCCATACAGGCTCAGCCCGGAGGTCCACCTTAAGAGGCCAGCAGTGGATGACAGCTGGAGGCTGGACATCATTTTGAAGCGTAAAGCGGTGGGTCCTTGACTCTTGGCTTCCCCCCTCCCCCATCACTGCTCCCAATACCCTCTTATGTTTGTAGAGTACGTTGTTAATCTGACTAGGCTAAAGTATCCGAAATACCACCAGTATGTGCGTTCTTGCCTCCTTTTAATCAGATTCAAACCTGCAATGCAGTGTTTAGGTGGATCTACAGTAAGGGAAGAAAGTAAGGAAGTCCCCACCACTATGACGATTCTCATTCACGATGCAATAAATAGGCAGCTGAAGGTTGCAGAGCTGCGAATATTGGTGTCACCTTCCTGATGGTAAAGAATAGCAGTTGTGTGTGATTCCCCATTGTGCTCAATGGTAGCTCTTAGCAGCTAAAACAATTTATAAATATTTATAGAGATAACATTATGACCACCCTCCTAATTTTGAGAAGGTACCTCTGAAGGTACAAAACACAAAAATTCCCCAGCCTCAACCTGCCAGCCAGCCTGCAACCAAACAAGTAGCCCTGTCAACAGTATGCGTTAAAATCAGAGGTTTTAGTTGCACAAACTTTTGGCCAAAAATATGTAGAAGCCACACTGCCGCGCCAAGGCACCTCTGCAAAGTGTGGTCCTAACTCTATGTATCCGAGTCTCCAAGTGTGAGCATATTAATGAAGTTGATAAATTACATGCAGGTGTACCTGGAGGTAGCCAACTCCTCCTAGTAAGGTGCAGGGACGCACTGGAGGCCCAGCAACCAAAAATGCACGCTGGGACTCCAGTGCGTCCCCCTAACCCTCTGAAGGTATGCTGTGGTATCTGGCACCAAGCTGTCAGTAGCAGATCCAGGAAGTTGTGAGGTGAGGCCTGAATGGACCGGACTTGTGTTTCCAGCACATCTCAATTGGATTGAGATCTGTAGAATTTGAAGGCCAAGTCAACACCTCAGACATGTTGTTGTGTTCCTCAAACCATTCTTCAACCATTGTTGCAGTGCAGCAGGGCTCATTATCCTGCTGAAAGAAGCCCCTGCCATCAGGAAATACCATTTCCATGAAGGGGTGTACTTGGTCAGCAGTAAAGGTTTAGGTCGGTGGTACGTGTCAAAGTAACATCCACATGAATGGCTGGAACCGAGGTGTCCCAGCAGAACCACACTGCCTCCTCCGGCTTGTCTTCTTCCCATAGTACATCCTGGAGCCATCTCTTCCCTCTAAGAGACACACAACCGGCCATCCACGTGATGTAAAAGAAAGCGTGATTCATCAGACCAGGCCACCTTGACCTAGACCTATATGACAGGCAGTGACAGATGAGTAGACCTTCTATAGTCTTCAGAATGGCAAAGGGTATCTTCTGATTGGTTGCTGTCCACATTTCTGCTTTCCCTTATCAGATAAGCCTCTTATAAGTGGACAGGTCAAGATCAGGAGTACAAAAATGACATATACTGTAGATGTAAGAAACTTCTTCTTTTGCAGGAGGCCGGAGTCAAGGTTTTTGTCTTGCTGTTCAAGGAGGTGGAACTGGCTCTGGGAATTAACAGCGGCTATAGCAAGAGAGCATTGATGCTGCTACATCCTAATATCAAGGTGAGAGGACAGCTGTACCTTCTAGATCATGATAGATAAGGGCTGCAGTATTTTCCACACAGGATAATGTCATCATTCATCACCCATCATCATCCGTCATTCAACATCGATCCTAATTCTCAAGTCTGGAGGCCAATTAAGTATCTCCTCCTACACAACACAACTATTATCTGAAAGGAGGACATCATCAGTCATTACCACCACTCATATCACTCATTTTGTTGTAAAAATTGCTTCCAAGTACCTTTTTCATAGGTTTTCTTTGATGGTCACATGGCCACCACTACTTTCCTAAGTCTCCTGCCTTTCAGGGAAGTGGTTGGTCTCTACTCCTACCCCTCCAACCTCACCGCTCATCTGGCTCTCGCTTACTGCTGACAATTCCTCTATGGTGGACGCAGTGACATGAGGACGTCACCGCAAAGATGAATTGACTTATCGCTGAATCAATGTGTCCACCACCAACACCTCTATAGTGTCAATGCAACACATTTTACCTAATCTTCATTCATCATGTACCATTTACCATCCATCATCTTCACTTATCATTGCCTGTAATATATCATCTTCATTTATCATGTAGCGGTCATTTTTAATTCATAATTGTCCACAATATGTCTTCCCTCAATAAATGAGGACTATGAGGTGAGTGCTTTTCACTCATCCTCATAGTTCTAGCCGACCTGTGACAATGGGACTGTCACAGGTCGGCTCAGTAGATCGGGAGGTGAGCGAACACATACCGGCGTTCGCTCACCTCTCGATCCTGTCACAGCTCTCTGCCGTGACAGGGGAGGGGCTGGATTCCCCCCTCTCCGATCCTCGGAACGGACGGGGGAGGGGGCGGGTACAGCTGGCTCTGCCTCTAGATAGGCAGAGCCAGCTGTCACTCACGCAGCTGGGCGGATCCAGACATAATTGTCGAGATCCGTTCCCACGTCTCAGTATACCGCGAGCTGTAGCTCGCGGTATACTGAGCTTAGGGTGACGGGAGGACGCTAGTTTGTGTCCTCCCGTTACCCTAAGGAGAACTATGGGGAAAAACACTGACCCCATAGTTCTCCTTTTAAAGGGAGACTAAATTCAGGGATTCAATCTTAAAAATGCAAAGGATTCCTTTCAAAGCATTAGCTGCCAAAAAGGAATGAGGAGTTTGGGGGGTCTCCCCATGTTGGAACTTCTTGCACAGCCTCACAGAGAAACACAAGCACACAGTCTGATATGCACGCTGCACATGGCTTGTAAACAGGAAGGAAGCCGCCGCTTTATTCTCTACCTTATTCACCACAACAGAGAATCTACCAAAGATATATAACAGAACTCATAAACACTGCCATCTAGTGACCGAAATTATATACTGCAGGACTTGTTGCGATAAACACAGTAATGTGTATTCCAACACCCCAACACCACCTGTATTATTTGGCTTTGAAAATAATTAAAACTAAGTTGAATAAGTTCCACTTTTAGGTGTGCAAATACCAGAAAAAAGGGGGAGGGGCTTTAAAGATACACTATAACTCTCTCGTTATAAAAATAGAAAATCATTTATTAATGTCATATTTTCCTTGAAACATGATACGAAAGATTTTTAAAACATGATTAATCCATTGCACATATAGTAGTGATCCCATAACAAGACAATAGTAGAATTGTTACAGTAAGAGCTTGACAGAAGATTTATTACTCATAATCCATGATCTCTCATTATTTCTTTTTTTTTCCCCAAAATTTTTTTTCTTTCCCTAATTTCCATAAAATATAATACATGGCTTATTCTGGTTACCCCCAACATGTTTCGCCCTTCAGGGCTTCTTCAGGGGGAATTTATGTCCTAAATGAAAGGAAATCCATACAAAGCAAATTAGGGACTGCATCTCTGTTTGAGACAAACCTATATACAGATTTGTTACATCTGTGAGCATCCATAGACTTACAAGATAGGAGTCCGTCACAAGGGGGGTGCGGCCTGCACCCGAGTGACACCATTGGAGGGGTGACACCAAAATGACTGACAGTCATTTTGGTGTCGCCTCCCCTGATAGAGGAAATCGAATGGGCTTCCCTCAAATCAGTGAAAAGGCACCTGCGCATAGGGATCGTGTCAATAATAAAAGTGACCCTAAACTCAGAAGTGAAATCTTAAAAATGTATTCAAGTGCCTCAACGGTTAACAACAATGTATCTTATTTGTGTATCACTCGGCTGTAGATCCTGAAATCATCTCTGAATTGGTTCTGACACTGTCCTTCCTTCTGGAGGGGGGCTACTTTTGTTCCCCATGGTCCCTGTGTGTGTTGTAAAGTAGTCACCGCTCCAAGCTTCCTCCTGGGATGGACTACAATCTCACTACAAATGAGTAAATTAAATGTCAGATTGTAGTCCAGCTTGGAGGAGGCACCTTCAAGAAGTACCGTATTTGCCAGCGTATAAGACGACCCCCTACTTTTTGTGTTTTAAAATATAGGTTTTGGGCTATACTCGTCGTATAAGACGGGTATAGCCCAAAATAATGTTTAAATGCTCCCACTAACCTCCACGGCGTTATTCCCGAGTGGGGCTCAGGGTTAATTTCCAGTACCATAAGCGGTACCCCCCGAGCCACACTCGGGATTGCAGTCTCTTACCTTGTCCACGATCCCCACAGCGTCCTCCCATCTTCCAGGTTCCGTCATTCAGCTATATACAGTATACCGCGCTGAGCCAATCACGGCAGGCTTTGCATTCATTAATACAGGCTTTGTATTGATTAATGCAAAGCCTGCCGTGATTGGCTCAGCGCGGTATACTGTATGTAGCTGAAGGACGGAACTGTATGTAGCCGGCGTATAAGACGACCCCCGATTTTCCGGCAGTGTTTTTGGGTCTAACAACCCGTCTTATACGCCGGCATATACTTAGATATTTATTGGTCTAGCACGCTCCAGGCCTCAGCAGTGCCATACATCTTAATTTTCTTACACCTGTCCTGATGAAGTGGTCACTTTGTAGCCATGAAATGTGTTGATGGTGTATTTTACAGTTGCTTGACCATTAAATACCTTCCTGTTGAAGAAAACACTTTAAGGTTCCTTCCTTTTTAAATTGCTTGTTGTGATCCAAATACTGCAAAGTGTACAATCATTCGGAATTCCCTGAAGAGCCATGAGTGCGACCATGTGTCTTGTTCTGTTCGGAGACGGACATATTATCCACAAACTCTTCAATGGATTGCCCCGATCCCTTGTTGTGTTACCCTTATGGTGAGTCATGTACCATACTACTACCAATGTTTAGAAGAAGCTCATATGTTCTACTATGAGTATCTACTCCCAGATGGATCTCTCCCGTTGCCTTTTACTCTCTTCTTCCCGGGCTTCTGATGGTTTTAGAAATTTCGACAATTTCCATAACGCATCCTTGTACATCATATATGATCCCTATTCATTATGAATCGCTTGTCTTCTCCGTTCATTATACCTACATATATAGAACACGTCTTCCCTAACCTTCATTCATCAGCCATCATTGTTATCACTGCCCATAAAATAAAACCAACATCAGTTATCATCTTAATGTATTATTGCCCATAATACAGCACCCACTATCATCACGCCCAATCTCCACCAAGGTGCCACGTCAGCCTCTCTCTCTCTCCGTCCCGTTTCAGGTGATGCGTCATCCAGATCACGTCTCCTCCATTGTCTTTCTCTGGGCTCACCATGAGAAGATGGTGGCCATTGACCAGTCCATAGTTTTTCTGGGGGGTTTGGATCTGGCGTACGGCCGATGGGATGACCATGACTATCGATTGACAGATGTGGGATCTTGCGAGGTGCAACATCAGCAGCAGCAACAGGTATCAACCAAGTCTACGCAGAGAGGTCTCTACGTGACTCTGTAACCCTTTCCTCTCAGCACTTCTATTATGTTGACACTTTACTGCTCATTTTACTACTATTACTCTAAATCTAACATTACTCTTAACCCATGCCGCTCCCACTGTCATTTTGTGACTACTACCCTTCCTTTCACTCTGACCTTACCCTTCCTTTCACTCTGACCTATCACTACTGGTACTTCATCCTGCTCTGCAACCATACCACTTTTAGGTCCAGTAGACATAGGCAGTCTTTGCTTGTAAACACTAGTCTGAAGAACATTGTATTCAACGGGTATTTACAAAGCATATACGGAGCATTTAAAGGTATTCTGCCCTAAGCAGAAAAAATGATTCAAAGCTCGACGGGCAAACAAGCTATTCTAAACTTAAAGCTGAACTGAAGTTGTTCATGAGCATTATATGAAAGAACACATCCCGGCATCTCTTTAAACATGCATGCTTGATAACTCTCTAGCAGGGGCGTCCCCACACTTTTTGCTGCTTAAAGGAGAACTATGGGGTCAGGGCTTTTCCCCATAGTTCTCCTTAGGGTAACGGGAGGACACAAACTAGTGTCCTCCCGTCACCCTAAGCTCCGTATACTAAAAGCACAGAAGGATAGCACGGACAGTGCTCTCGGATTGGACCTGGGGAAATGAATTATGTAACTCTACCTAGCCTGTGGCCCTGGGAGACAGGAGGAGTACCTGTGCTTGTGAAAGTTGGTTCTTTAAGCTCCGTATACTGCGAACTACAGCTCGCGGTATACTGAGATGCTGAAGTGGATACAGACAATTATGTCTGGATCTGCCCAGCTGCGTGACTTACAGCTGGCTCTGCCTATCTAGAGCCAGCTGTACCCGCCCCCTCCCCTGTCCGTTCCGCCAGTCAGCGCTGGAGGATCGGGGTGGGGGAATCCAGCCCCTCCCCTGTCACGGCAGAGAGCCGTGACAGGATCGAGAAGCGAGCGAACTCTGGTATGTGTTCGCTCACTTCCCGATCTACTGAGCCGACCTGTGACAGTCTCATTGTCACAGGTCGGCTAGAACTATGAGGTGAGTGAAAAGCACTCGCCTCATAGTCCTCCGTTAAGGTGGCAGGGGGGAGAGCGGTTGCACGTGGGGGAGTGATGGCGCATGTTACTGGAGGATTGGAATGTGTGGCACTGCACATTACTGGTTGCCAGGAGCTGGGCGGCAGAACGCCAGCCAGAGCTTCCTGCTCAGCTTCAGGGCAACCAGTGACATCAGTGAGCTGGGCAGGACGCCGGCCAGAGCGTCACAGTTTGCTAAAAGCTCTAAGCAACCGAAGACGCTCTGGCCTGGGTCTCGGGTGACCCAGTGAGATGCCGCCCGAGGCAACCACCTCAGGCCGCCTCATTCTAAGGACAGCCCTGCTCTCTAGTAATCAATTGATCAGCAGATTGTGCAGCTAAAGTGTGCGGTGGCCAGCAGGGAGTAGCGTGCACATCTAAAGGATACAGGGGATGTGTGCTTTCATGTAATGATCAGGCTTATCAAAGAAAATCCGAGGTAGGGTGCTGTGATGTTTATGGACGCCTGTTTGCCCCTCCAACCAAGCTGAATCAAAGACCATCAGAAATACCCAGTGATGATGTCACTGCGTGTCAAAAAAGGTATTTCTGCAAGAAAAATATTTGACACATTTTATATGCACACTGTGTGTGTCTGTGTTCCCTTGAAGGTATTCAAGGCATACATGCATGTTAGCCTTCACTCTCCCACTGCCTGTTGTCCTGAACGTCACTCTGTTGATGGGAAATCGTCCTCTGAAGTCTGCAGTGGAACCAACACTTCTGGGCATGTCTATTTCCTTCTGCACCACTGCCCTCAATGGTTCCCCTGCGGATCTTCACATCACTACAGGATACAATAGTGACATGGTTGCAGGGCTGTAGCTACCATGGGGCGAGTGAGTCACTCGCCTCAGGCGCAGCTGAGAGGGGACATGGTTGTCCTCGAGAGAAACCCCAGAGCACAGGGAGATGCAAGGAGACAGACCTCCGAAGTGTTGGTTTTTCAGCAGACTTCGATGGACGATTGCTCTGCAATGGCTTCATGTTCTGCAGAGAAGGCTACGGTAGAGGTAAGTATGTAAGAGCTTCGCTGCAGGTTGAGCAGAGTTGCTATAAAAAGTGCAGAGCAGTTTTTTTTTGACACGCTATGAGCACCTTCCAGGTCGAGCCTGGGGGAGCAGGAAGCCAATAGTACCCTCTGATTACTCAGTAGCACTTTAGCGCTTAAAGTAAGAATTGTTTTCCAAAATTGTTGTAATATGGCACCATGAAATGAGGTGACACCTTCAAGTGTGTGCATGGTCCGTCCAATATCTTTCTGAGCACTCCAATGATCTGCAAATGTAATTGTTTTAAAAAGGAAAGACCAGAGTTGGCCCGCCTCGGCCTCTCCACCTACTGCACCTTCCTGTGGGTTCTTCATAGCCTCAGCTACCAATGATGATGCAAATGTTGATCTGAAGAAAGGAAGTCAATGATTCATTTCCCCATTACTGCGCCTCACCATTTGCTCTTAAACATCATGGTCAGCCTTTCTTACCAATAGTGAGGGACTGGATGTGGGACCTTTGATGGTGCCTGCTCTTCATTCATGGTGCCACGTTGCACTGCTTATAAATGAAGGTTTACTTTAATGTGGCCTCTCATACCTTATCCTCCATAGTCACTTCTAATACTTCTAACTCAACCGAAATATCAGTTTTCAGGGGACTGATCTTTTAACTCCTTCTCATACTCCGTTTAACCTGAATCTTTATCTCCTTCTTTTCTCTGATGTCTCTTTTCTTTCATGGTCTGTCCTCTCGCTGTCTGTCTCTCTTCTCCTAAAGGGTGCCATCCCGCTGTGTCTCAGCAGAATGGATCCGCAGCAGTGGACATGTCCCCTGAAGAGTCGGCGATGGTCTCCCAATACTGGCTGGGCAAAGACTACAGTAACCTGATTTATAAAGACTGGGTACAGCTGGACAAACCTTTTGAAGGTAAGAGGCTTTCTAGATATCGAATGTGTGTCAGTGTCACTGTAATATCCTGCAGGAGGAGGACAGACTCATAGCTCCCTCCTGTCTGTGTCACCCTGCAGGAGGAGGAGACTCATAGCTCCCTTCTATGTGTCACCCTGCAGGAGGAGGACAGACTCATAGCTCCCTTCTGTCTGTATCACCCTGCAGGAGGAGGACAGAGTCGTAGTTGTCTTCCTGGTTTGTGATTGTATTTCTTTACATTTAGATTTCATCGATCGGTTAAAAAACCCACGAATGCCATGGAGGGACATCGGTGCGGTGATTCTCGGCAAAGCTGCCAGGGATGCATCCAGACACTTTATTCAAAGGTGGAACTTTACAAAGGTGAGAACTCTTCTGACAAACATTACTCCTTGCCTTTGTTCAGAGCTTTGCAGACCCATTTGTTATTGTCCTGTGATTGGAAAAAAAATGCAATATCCAATAAAGAAAGATATCGATATATCTTATTAGATGAATAGATAGATGGATTCTGGCTATAATATAATACATTTTGGGCTCATTTACACGGATGTTAAGGCTGTGTACAGTCTGTATTTGTGCGCTGTTTACATGCATGGTTCCCTCTCTGGGTGGATAAGCAAAGTCCCATAGCCGGGACCGGATTTACTCTCCCTGCTGCCCCAAGGCCAGTTTCCGCAATGTGCCCCACCTACCCCGCCCCCCCATGGAGAATGCCAACCAGATAGCGGGGGTGGCAGGGTTAGTTTGAATTTTTTTAATGTTTCTTTCTTTTTTATCACTTTTTTTTATCACTTAACTTTATCACTATTTTTTATTTTTATTTTTTATTTATAATTTATTTTCTTTGTATTTTTTAAATATTTTTTCTTATTTTTTTACTTTTTATTTATTTGTTACTTTATTTTTTAATTTAATTACTATTACTTGTTATTTTTTACTTATTTTTTTTATTTCTGTAGTTTTATTTATCAATTTTTTTTCACTAAACCTTATTGCTATCACACAGGAGCTAACAATCCCTTTGTGACAGCATTTGGAGGTGACCGGTTCTCTTTATTAAACCTGTCACCTCCAATACAAGAGTTCTAGCACAGCACTGTGCTCCAACTTCTGTGCAAGGCGAGAGGAGAAGACTGCTCTCCCCTCTCACTGTATACACTGAGCGGCAGAGTTACTTTTAACCCTGCCGCTCTGCTCACCGCTCTCCATCCTGAAGACGTCGGCGGCCAGCGAGGAGAGGACGGAGCCGGGAGACGGAGCCAGCATAGATGGAGAGCGGTAGGTGCACGGGAGGGAGGTGGACGGACAGCCTGCAGTCTGATTACAAGTGATTTCACATGTAAAGAAACAAGTGGTTTCCCCCGTTCTACATTTAGCCTGGCTTGTGCAAGGCAGGGCTAAATGTAGAAAACAAATTACCACGCGGAACTACATGTTCCGGGCGTCGGGTAACTTCAAACCCCTCTGCCCTGTGCCTTGTCAGGAATACGGCCCTGCCCATAGCCCTAAACAGCCTCCGGTGAGGCCCCAGGAGCCTAAAATGCCTCATGACCTAGGCCTCATTCACACCTGAACGTTTTGTAGCGCGTTCTACGCTCGATGAACGCTCTACAAAACGCTCAAACATCTAAATCCCATTGTATTCAATGGGTCTGGTTCACACCTTGGCGTATTTCAGCCCGTCCCTAACGCAAAGGTACATGTACTACTTTGGGCCGTTTTTGTTGCGCGTTTCCATTGGGATACAGCAAGTAGCCCTTGGAAACGCGTGTTTGTCGCGTGATTTTTTTACCACGAATCGCGGTTAAAAAAACGCGCGACAGACGCGCATATGCATTCCGCCTAGGTGTGAACCAGGCACTAGAGGTAACGGCTGCAATGAACAATATCATTGTTCATTGATATTGAACAAAGCACAATATTGATATTGAACAAAGCACAATATCTCCGCTTCTGTAAGACATAGGAAGGTTTCCTCTTGTTTGGGAACGGTATTTTAATCTCGGTTCTATGCTTCTATGTAACTTTCATATGTTTTATATCCCGCAGACCATGAAATCGAAATATAAAGGTTCTTCGTTCCCGCATCTTCTTCCCAAAAGTCTGAGCACAGCGGATAAACCTCAATACTCGGTGCCAGGATGCCACAGTGCCACTGTGCAGGTGAGAGAGGTGGCTCAGATCGGCACCCGGCAGAGATGATTGAAAGAAATGGACCCCATCGAATGGGGCGGCACAGATGTTTTTTTATTGGGGATTATTTGTCCGCTGTTTTTTTAATGTTAAATAATTGCCAACTTTGTTTCAGATTTCTCTTTCTTTCAACCATGACATTAAACTAGGTCTGTGCAAATTAACGATTCATTTCTCGATTAATCGTTAATCTTTTTGATCGATTACATTTTTTTTGGATCGCTAATGAGAACACTCACCTCTCCGCCGGCTTCCGGGAGTCCCGTCGGAGATCTGGTGACGTCACAGACATCTACATCACCGGACTCCTACCCCC